GTCCTTGTATTGGACTTTTTACTTTTTTCAGGAGGACCTTCAGATCAGTCAGTTTTGGTGATTATTTTGATTTATCTGTAGTGAGTCTATTGATCTATGCTTTTCTGTGCAGATTCTTCTTGACGTGCAAATTGATGGAAATCATTCTTCTCAATTTTCTATGGACTCAACAGGAAATGAGTTAGCATTAGTACCCATAGAACCATCAAGGTCATCTATGACCATTGCAGGGGGGCCTACGTTGTCGAATGGTCATTCAATGGATTATAGTTATAATTTGCCTCAGGGAAGTGCCTTAAGCAGCTCAGCATCAGCTGATACAGATGATAAATGTTATGTTTATAATCCAATGAAAAAAGGAGATAGGGGAGGTTTGGCAGGATTGCAGAATCTTGGAAATACTTGTTTTATGAATAGTTCTATCCAGTGTTTAGTCCACACACCCCCTCTTGTTGAGTATTTCTTGCAAGATTACTCGGATGAGATCAACACCGAAAATCCCCTAGGAATGCATGTAAGTGGCTATCTTTGCCTCGTGCTTGTTCCACAAGGATAGTCTTGAACACTGATTGCTTTGCTACTTTTCTCCCCTAAAATTTCTAACATATGTCGTTGCAGGGTGAGCTTGCTCTTGCCTTTGGTGAGTTGTTGAGGAAATTGTGGTCCTCAGGACGAACAACGATTGCACCGCGTGCATTCAAGGGAAAACTTGCTCGATTTGCTCCCCAGTTCAGCGGCTATAATCAGCATGATTCTCAAGTTAGTACTGCATTTTTTCTTAAATGTCTTCTCTTTGGTACATGTAACATTATGCTATTCTCTAATGCCAATTGTGCAATAGCTTGTTACAGTTTTTATTATAATTTCACTAAGTCTTCTAAAGCCATCTAGAATAATTTTCTAGGGGTATTGATAATAAGCTACCTGATTATTGTATTTGCTCTGAATGATGAATTCTTCTTTATAGGAACTTCTTGCTTTCTTACTGGATGGCCTACATGAAGATTTGAATCGTGTCAAAAATAAGCCGTACATTGAAACAAAGGATTCAGATGGTCGTCCAGATGAGGAAGTCGCAGATGAATGTTGGAAAAATCACAGGGCCCGAAATGATTCATTGATTGTGGATGTTTGCCAGGTAAGAAATCTTTTTACTGTTATTGTTGTATCATATAATGTGTACATCTTGTGTGTTGCTATATTTGTCGGTCATCTACTTTTTCTTGTAGTTGAGTTTCTAGTCCTTATTACGTGGCAACTTGCAAGTGTACTAAATCGCATCTAAACTTTCTGCTATTGTTGCTTTCAAATACACATGCACACATTCATTGAAATGGCACCTATGGAAGGTGCATACAAGAATAAAGGGTCTATACAGGACCTATATAAATTTGGAAACAGATAATTTAAAGGGGTTCAAAGCTTGAGGGGGATGGCTGATTCCAGCTTTTAAGGAGTGCTAGGTCCTTTAGATTTCTAGAACCTTAAACGCCAGCCTTTTTGCTCTTCTATAATCCTATATAGCTTATGCTAACATCTTGGTGCCTTTAAATTGGATTCTTATGGTCAATTTTTTTATCAAATTGTATCAAAATTTACTTGCCTTTTTATATTTAGCTCGGTATTTGTTTGTTTCAAGAGTAATTTTGTGAGTTGCATGTTGTTTAGTGCTCACTTTTCTTCTTTATTGTGGGCTTTTAGAGTAATGTAATTCATAGTTGTGGTATTTTTGTTGAATGTACAAGGTTTATCTTTGGTTATTGGAAATCAAAATCTGGTTTAACTAATGTCCAGGGTCAATATAAATCGACGTTGGTATGCCCAGTTTGCAGCAAGATTTCAATTACTTTTGACCCTTTTATGTACTTATCATTGCCTCTACCTTCAACTGTCACTCGGTCAATGACGGTGACTGTGGTTTATGGTGATGGACGTGGTCTTCCAATGCCATACACTTTAACTTTGATAAAAGATCGCTGCATTAAGGATCTTATTGCCGCATTGGGTACTGCGTGCTGCTTGAAGAGTGATGAAAGCCTTATGCTTGCTGAGGTAATATTGAGTTCACTGACTTATAATTTTCCTCTCTCTGTCATTTATTTATTTATTCTGTAGAACTGTACCTTTATGTTAGTTTGATTTGATATGATTTGTTGGCTCATTCCAGCATTCCCTATTAGTTAAGTTTTTGGGCGAGGTAGTCTAATATGGTATCAAAGTTACAGTTTGAAGAGGCGTTGGAACCTCTCATCCCTCATCATTCCCCATTTAACTTTGTGCACTTCAGATTAAGGCTGCATTCGTATGTTTCTCTGCATGCAGGATTGGGGTTGCACTTTTGAGTTGGAGGGATGTTAGTTTGAAACATATGGTTGGCACATTTTCTAATAAGTTAAGTTTTTGTGTACAATAGTAGTCTAACACTTCTATTTCAGGTATATGAACATCGAATTTATCGATATTTAGACAACCTTTCTGAACCATTGTCGTCAATTAAGAATGATGACCGCATTGTGGCTTATCGATATTCTAAAGAAGAAGCAGCTTTCAAAACCAGACTTGAAATCATTTATCGATGGCAGGAAAAGTAAGTTTGCTTTCCTTAATCTGTAGCGGTTGGATTTGCTTGTATGTAAACTTGTCAAAGTGTGAACTTTGTTTCGACCCTGTGATTGTGATGTTTAAAGGACGTGTATGAGCCTGCCACAAAATGTTGATTTCATTGAAATCGGAGGCCCATGGAACCCCTTATTTTTTAATCGCATCTTTCTGAAAATGAGGTTCATGTAGGCCCTGATAGATAGGTCATTCTTAACCTTCTTACATGTTGCCTTTTTCTTTGGCTGACTAGAAAGAGAAAGAGGATCTTCCTTAACCATGCATACTTAATTGCCTAGTTGCTGCATTATTCCACTGGATAAGCTTTTTTATCATTATTGCTTCTGTTTTTTTTTTGCTTTTTGGCTGAAATTTTAACCCAAGCCTTTGTCAATTTCCAGATCTACATCAGATTCTCTAAAGGGTCAGAGAAAGCTTTTTGGAACCCCATTGGTTGCTTATCTAGGAGAAGACAAATTAAATGGAGTTGATATTGATAGAGCTGTCTCCAGAATTCTGTCACCTTTGAAGAGAGCAGTTAAGCTTAACAGCATAAAAGAAAATGGATTAGTTTCAGAAGGCATTGATGAAGCATCAAACAGCCACAACTCGAGGCCCATGGACAACATAGAACTAGAGGAAACATCTAGTGGCGAGTTGTCCTTCCATCTATTTTTAGCTGATGAAAGGGGTTCGAGCTGCAAACCAATTGAAAAGAATATGTCCATTAGTTCTGGTAAACCCATAAAGATTTTTCTGGACTGGACTAATCAAGAAGATGAAGTATATGATGCTAGCTACCTCAAGGATCTACCTGAGGTGCACAAGAATGGGTTTACCGCAAAGAAAACTCGGCAAGAAGCTATTTCCTTATTTACATGCTTGGAGGCATTTCTGAAGGAAGAACCTCTAGGGCCTGATGATATGTGGTAGTGTACTTCTACCAATTTAGTGACTTCTGATATGGCATTATTTTAAATTTTCAGGCAAGTGGGTATCATCATAGGCAATATTTTGACGTATGCTCTTGAATTTTGCAATACAGGTACTGCCCTAAGTGCAAGGAACATAGACAAGCTACAAAGAAACTGGATTTGTGGATGTTGCCAGAGGTTCTTGTTTTTCACCTGAAACGGTTCTCATATAGCAGATACTCAAAGAATAAACTTGATACGCTAGTGACTTTTCCAATACATAATCTTGATTTGAGTCAATATGTCATGAACAAGGATGGAAAACCTCATTTATATGAGCTATATGCCATTAGCAACCATTACGGTGGTCTAGGTGGTGGGCACTACACTGCATATGCAAAGGTAAAACTCTGATACATCTCATCTTTTCTGAGTTTGAATGGTGCCCTACTGGCTGAGATTGGCTAGTTGATGACATCTTCCCCCCTGCTAGTATTACAATGATACTGTAGGCTTTGTGATTCATATTTCAATCACTGGCTAATGGCAAAAAATTAGTAGTATTCCATAGTTATATGATATTACAATGATATTGTAGGCCTCTTTAAAATATTATCTGTTGAGATAAAGTTATCTTGTTTGTCAATCTTGCAGTTGATTGATGAGAACAGATGGTACCATTTCGATGACAGTCATGTTTCTCCAGTCAATGAAACTGACATCAAGACTTCGGCTGCCTATGTGCTATTTTATCGGAGAGTTAAAAGTGGACAAAAGATTGGAGAGGCCGAGTCATCAGGGACTCATATGGAATCTTGACGACATCAATCAAGTGCATCCTCCTATTATAGGGTTTTGAAGCTTCCTATAGGTTAAGCTGACTTGGTCCAAGAATGGTGAGCTTTGTTTTACTTGGCTAATGGGACCTGGCAATCGGCAGGTTGAAGGTACAGATTGCACGATACTGGCATGGACTAAAGCCGTAGTACGAGGGGCTGCATGACATGGCTGTTGATACTAGGAATGTGTTCGCCATCTCATACAATATTTTTTAAGGGAAAAGAAAAGAAATTTTGGTAGCCATTTATCCATTAGATTTCCTCTGGTAAAGATTTCTTCAAACATCCACCTGACTCTGCTTCTTTTTTTTCTTTTTTTTTGGGTCAAGACCTGACTCTGCTTCTTATTTGTTGGGAAGAGTAGCAAATTATTTTAGAACTTCTGTAAGATGTTCTATGTTTATTATGGCAGTGCAGTTTAAGAAGTAGAGACAGGACAGATTTTGTACTGGACGAAAAACACTGTAATAGAATCAGAGACAAAATTGGTGGAAAGTTGAAAGAACCTTGTGTTTTTTACCCCTAGCCTTTGCAGATTTACATGCTGAAATTCCCCTCTTTTTTTTTGTAGTTTCTTTAGGTGGGGGCATCTTTACTTTTGGCTATTGATTTGATCCTCGAGTGACAAGCTTAAGTGGATTGTGAATCATCAGAGCTTATATGGTTTTTTTTATTTTTCTGCAAGAATCTTGAATAGATAAGGTGAAATAGTCCATACACAGTAACAACACAATCCAAGATGACACAGATACGTACTACGACAAATACAAAAGTGATCAAATAAATCAATAACTCTCTCTCTCTAGACTGCCTCCTTCCAGACGTCCTCATCAGCAGCAGCACTATACTAACACCTCTCTCCCTAATGACTAGAGTTATTAAGACAAGGAAAATAATTCTCCTGCAAAAGCCAAACAAAAGAAAGAGGGAAAAGTTAAAGGCTTGTTAAATAAGTTTGGTACCATTTGAGATGCCACTGCCAACCAAAAAGAGTTAAAGGCCACCCACCATCATCACTTTCCTCAGTGAACCCCACACCTTTTAACTTATCAGAGACATGTTGATGGATCATTAAGAAAAAATGCATCACGGTGTGGGGCCTCATTGGGAATTTTATGCAACAATCAAATTTTATACGACCGTTGATGCATATGAGATTCACAATGCATCGACAAACAGATAAAAGCATTTTAAAATTCTAGATTTCATAAATGCTATGATGATGATGTGTGATGATGATGGTGATTCACAGTAAAAGTGGGTTATGAGCAAAGGAACATAGTTTCACCTTTTTTTTCCCTTAATTCTCAAGTAGTCTTTTTTTTTTCTTCTTTTTTTTTTCCCTCTATCTTTTCCGCCGTCCATTCACATCTTGATTTCTGATTAAAAGGCTTGAGCACTTACTGCTCTGAGCAACAAGACCACTAACATGGGAATCAAACCAATCACATGGCATCTCTCCTGATAAAAGAAGAAAGCACCATCACAACAAAAATCAGAACTAAACAACCCAAAATAGCAAAAATTAAACCAAAAAACATATAAATTAAGCAACTGTATGCTGGCATATGTACATGCAAGCCGACGTCGTTTTCCACGAAATGCCCTATTAAATTTGTCCCAATCAAACCCAACGGACACGACCCTCTCACAAGGAAAAAAATCATCCTAAATCTTATCAACATTGAATGACCAATATCCGTTGGACATCTGGTCCACTAAAAACTCAGCTGCTTAACACAGTAGAACAGGAAAACAGTAAACAGTAAAAATGAAGGACTTGCCGTGACCGCTGCGGACGAAATTGCCAAGTAGCCAGAACTGGAAGTTCCCGGTGCAGAGGGAGTAATCGGATTCACCAACCCGCCCGAACCCGAACCCGAATTCGAACTCGAGTTACCGTT